TTCCCGTGCGGCGTATGCCAGAAGTCCTTCAAGCAGTCCTCGCACCTGGTCCAGCACATGCTGGTGCACTCGGGGGAGAGGCCCTATGAGTGCGGCGTCTGTGGCCGCACCTACAACCACGTCTCCAGCCTCATCCGCCACCGCCGCTGCCACAAGGATGCTCCTCCTGCCACAGGGGTCCTACCGCAACCTGGTGCAACCCTCCCACCATTGGGCCTGCCTGCTCTCCCCACCGCTGGTGCCCCCACCCCCAGTGCCCCCACCCCTGGTGTGCCCACGCCGGTCCCTGCTGGCCCACCATCCACGCCTGCCGCCCCTGCAGCCTCCGCAGAAGGGAACACAGCCCCGAGCACACCGGCAAGTGTGGGGGTGCCTCCTCCGGCAGCAGGCGGCGGTGGCGGTGAGGGCCCATTTGCTTGTCCACTCTGCTGGAAGGTCTTCAAGAAGCCCAGCCACCTGCATCAGCACCAGATCATCCACACAGGCGAGAAGCCCTTCTCGTGCTCCGTGTGCAGCAAGAGCTTCAACCGCAGGGAGAGCCTCAAGCGCCACGTGAAGACTCACTCGGCCGACCTATTGCGCCTGCCGTGCGGGGTCTGCGGCAAGGCATTCCGCGACGCTGCCTACCTGCTCAAACATCAGGCGGCTCACGCAGGCACAGCGGGGCCCCGGCCCATGTACCCCTGCGACCTGTGCGGCAAGTCCTATTCAGCCCCTCAGAGCCTGCTGCGCCACAAGGCCGCGCACGCACCGCCTGCCGCCCCTGATGCACCCAAGGATACGGTGGCCGCTGTTCCACAGCCCACGCCAACCTTTCCTCCTGGTCCCTACTTGCTGCCGCCCGACGCCCCTGCCACCGACAGTGAGAAGGCGGCGGCGGCCGCAGCGGCCGTGGTGTATGGGGCCATGCCTGTGCCGCTCCTGGGCGCACACCCTCTGTTGCTCGGCGCAGGGACTAGTGGGACAGGCAGCGTGGGTTCCAGCGGCCCCGGAAAGACATTCTGCTGCGGCATCTGTGGACGTGGCTTCGGGCGCCGTGAGACCCTGAAGCGCCATGAGCGCATCCACACAGGCGAGAAGCCACACCAGTGTCCGGTGTGTGGGAAGCGCTTTCGCGAGTCCTTCCACCTGAGCAAGCATCACGTGGTGCATACTCGAGAGCGCCCCTACAAGTGCGAGCTTTGCGGCAAGGTCTTCGGCTACCCACAGAGCCTGACCCGCCACCGCCAGGTGCACCGGCTGCAGCTGCCCTGTGCCCTGGCCGGGGCTGCTGGCCTCCCCACCGCCCAGGGCACGCCTGGAGCTTGTGGTTCAGGTACCTCAGCCACGGCCGCGGGGGCCACTGAGGGCCTGAGCTACCCCTGCTCAGACTGCGGTGAGCACTTTCCGGATCTTTTCCACGTCATGAGCCACAAAGAGGCCCATATGTCGGAGAAGCCCTATGGTTGCGATGCCTGTGGCAAGACCTTTGGCTTCATCGAGAACCTCATGTGGCACAAGCTGGTCCACCAGGCTGCCCCTGAGCGCCTGCTCCCACCTGCACCCAGTGGACAGCAGCCCACAGATGCCTCTGGCGGTGCCGAGGCATCCAGCGTGCTGGACAATGGGCTGGCGGGCGAGGTGGGGGCGGCCGTGGCAGCGCTGGCAGGGGTGTCTGGGGGTGATGATGCTGGCAGTGTTGCAGGGGCTGGGAGCGGTGGGGGCACCAGCTCAGGCCCAGAGCGATTCAGTTGTGCCACTTGTGGCCAGAGCTTTAAGCACTTCCTGGGCCTGGTCACTCACAAGTATGTGCACCTGGTGCGGCGGACCATGGGCTGCGGCCTTTGCGGCCAGAGCTTCGCTGGCGCTTACGACCTGCTTCTGCACCGGCGCAGTCACCGGCAGAAGCGGGGCTTCCGCTGCCCGGTGTGCGGGAAGCGCTTCTGGGAGGCGGCCCTGCTGATGCGCCACCAGCGCTGCCACACGGAGCAGCGGCCCTACCGGTGTGGCGTGTGTGGCCGAGGCTTCCTGCGCTCCTGGTACTTGCGGCAGCACCGCGTGGTGCACACGGGCGAGCGCGCCTTCAAGTGTGGCGTGTGTGCCAAGCGCTTCGCACAGTCGTCCAGCCTGGCGGAGCACCGGCGGCTACACGCAGTGGCCCGGCCCCAGCGCTGCGGCGCCTGTGGCAAGACCTTCCGCTACCGCTCCAACCTGTTGGAGCACCAGCGGCTGCACCTGGGCGAGCGTGCGTACCGCTGCGAGCACTGCGGCAAGGGCTTCTTCTACCTGAGCTCTGTGCTGCGCCACCAGCGTGCCCACGAGCCGCCGCGGCCGGAGCTCCGCTGCCCAGCCTGCCTCAAGGCTTTCAAGGATCCCGGCTACTTCCGAAAGCACCTGGCGGCCCACCAGGGTGGGCGGCCATTCCGCTGCTCCTCCTGCGGCGAGGGTTTTGCCAACACCTACGGCCTCAAGAAACACCGCCTGGCGCACAAGGCCGAGGGCCTGGGGGGCCCTGGGGCTGGGGCTGGCACGTTGGCCGGAAAGGAGGCCTGACGGGGGTCTTCCCCTGCACCGCTCCACTGAGCTGTCCCCTTCCAGACTCGCCCCCCCCGGCTGCAGGTCAGGCCCCGCCCCTCCTCACCTACCGCCCCCTCCGCTCTTCGGAACTTCAGGCAGACTAGCCTCCTTTGAGGCCCACACTGTACAAAACGCAAGGCTGAATTACTCCCAAACTGGACTTCTCTGGCCCTCCTCTCATCCCATCTGACACTGAACTTGATCCTCCATTCGACCCTTTTTTGTAACCCCCGTCAGCCCCCCGCCCCAGCAGCATTCTTTCCCGACAAGCTTCGGTGGATATGGGTGTGAACTGCCCTTTCCCTGTGGGATCCGGCGGGACAGTGGGATGTGACTGGAGTTGGGAGGGCACAAGGGGGCCTGGGTGCTCTTTTGGATTATGGGGGTGGGGGGGGGCGGGTGGCAGACGCGGCTTGTACAGAGCAGAGATAATAAACCTATCACCAGGGCAACGGGGTCCTTTCTCACATCCCAGGGGGAGGGGATTAAGTGCTGGCAATCAGAAGGGTGAGAATACTTGTTTCCTTGGGATTTCAATTTCTCCACATTCTCTGCCTTTCCTCATCCCCGCACCACTCAACCTGGGTATCTACTGAGTAATCACTGCATCCGAGATCAGACAGGTAAGTCTCCTCTTGGGAGCAGACAATGTGCCCAGACTCCTCCCCCCTTGGAGGTGCCACCTGCATCTGTTCACAGCCAACATTTCCCCCAGCTCCGTCTGCCGGCCCCTTTGCTGGGCTCTGGGAAACGTGAAGTGGACTCGCTCCTGGACCCTAAGTGAGATGGAAGAGAAGTCCTGGTCGGCCACTGTGCATTCTGGCTCTGTGTGGACTTGTGGTTCTGGTATAGATTGCTCATAGTGCCTGTTATTTTAGGATAACTCGGGAGCATTCCAGGAGCCCATCCACAGCCCTCGCTTGTGTTCTCAGAACAGTGAGATGCATGCCCTGTAACCTGTGGTGTTATCCCATTTGTTGGAAGCAGTGGCCGAGGTCCTGGAGGACACAGTCTCCAAGGCCCCCTGGAGGGTCCAGGCTAGAGCTGGGGCTGCATTCCCACGAGCCTGTGTGAAGCTTGAACACCAGCTGGGTCAGGGCACTGCCTGGGCGGGTCCAGTTTGACTCCCCACACGAAGGTGGCCCTCAGTGCGGCCCCCATGCCCTAATGCTGAAGACCTTGGGTGCCAGTGTCCTTGGGCTCGAAAGCCATGTGGGTGTGGAGCACCACACTGCCAACAATGCAGGCTGAGGGAGCACAGAGGAGTCGCCAGGAAGTTGGGCCCCACCAACTTCCTGGAGGAGAAAGCGATTCCTGAGTGGTGACTAAGGCCAGGTGAAGTGGACACGGTTCCAGGTGGAGGGTTCAGTGTGTCTGGCTAAACCTAGCAACTCCAAAGAGTGTAGAGCTTGGGGTGTGGGTGGCTGGATCCTTAGGGGCTTTAAATTGCAAGCAGTGGAGCCTGGATGACCCCAGAGGCTGGAAGCTGGATCCACACCCCGACACAGTTGGAGTAGCCCTTTTTTAAAAGTTTGACACAGATGCCAACGTTTGGAAATCAAAACATTTCACATAATACAAAACTATTGCAACTTCAATAATTTGGACACATTAGCAACCCCGTCTGTCTCCTGAGCTCAGTAGCCATTCAGATGGGGCACACATTCTCAGGTCTGTCCCCAGTCCCCACAGCACCCCAAATCCCAACTTGGAGCCCAAGTGTCAGTCTCCATCTTTCACTGTGAATGTGCATTTCCCTTTCAACCTGCTACCTTCCTCATTTAGTTCACAATGTCACCCAGCTCCAACCTACAGGCATTCACATTTGTGATTCCTTCTCAGAGCCACAGAGTGGTGGGTCGGCGTGAGGCTGGGACCTGTTTCTGACGGAGGATGCACGCAGCTGTGGGATGGGGCATGAAGGCAGGCCCTGGAGGCTGGGCTGCTGCATGGTTATCTTGGTGTGAGGTCCTGTGGGCTCGGTCTGCAAGTGGTTAGGCATGTTCAGGTTCCAAAGACATTTCAGCCTTGGGAAGTTGAGTTGACAAGTGACTAGATTAAGTGGATGAGGATGCACTTAGCTCAGGTAACCAGGAGATAAGGAAGCAGGGTAATTTCTTTGGGGGAAGAGTTCTGTCCACGGTGTGACCTGCCTCTGGTCTATCTTCTGGGGAGTGTTGGGTGAGCACCCATGTGTGCATGTCTGGGTTCTCCCTCCCCAGTAAGCATGCTGACCACAGGAGTCCCTTCACTTCGCCAGCCATTCCTGGTCCCCACTCCTGCAGCTGAGCCATGTGCCACCTCTGGACACCGAGCTGCTGCCCACCCCCATTCTAATGAGGTTCGGGGAAAGGTGTGCTGCAAGGCAGTGTTGGTGGCAACATTCTTGTGTGGACCCTCAGCCCCTGCCCCACAGGGCAGACCACCCAAACACCAGGCTGACATAGAGACACCCTTCAGAAAGTCCTTTAATAGGAACGGAGCTGAAGGCTTCCCACCTCCAGCTCCCAAGTCCTCCCCTCGCCCCCACTCGCCAGGTACACTCCCCACATCTGGCCATCCACCGACCCTTCCTTGGGGCAATCTGGGGCCAGGCAGTAAACTGCTTGCTTTAGGTTGGGAGTGGAGATTAGAGAAACCTGAGGCTATTTTTGTAGGTGTGGGGTGTGGGCTGTGAGACTAAACCTTGAGGACGGGATGTTAGGTGGCTATTTTTGGTATGGATTTTAGTTGCCTTGGAAAGAGGAGGCAGGTCTGGTGGGTTAAGGAGGAATCGCTATGGGAGCAGGGGTAGCAGCTCTTGCAGTCACAATCCTTACGGCCAGTCAGGCTCACATGGTGGAGACCCAAGTGCTCTGGGCTGTGAGCTGGGGGACCTATGGCTTTGAGGTGGTAGGACTCCAGTCTCTGTGGAGGGCCTGGCTGGTGTCTTCTACCTGAGGGTGGGCGGCTAGGTCTCCCAAGTTCAGTGCAACCCAGTGAGGTAGGCAGAAGATGTCACCCCAGTCCACCCTAGGCCCCAAGACACTTCAGGGTTCAGCAGATAAAGAGCTGCCCAGGGACAATGTGGTGTACCCTGGATCTGCCCTGTGTGGGCCACGGGCTCTGTTGTTGCAAGCTGTGTCTTGCACAAGGATGACCCAGGGCAGGCAGACAGGGAAAGGACACCCAGACCGTGTTCCTCCCATTTAGCTGGACATCCACTGGACTGTGTCCGTGCCTTTCTCCTAGTCCCTGAGCTGCCGTGTGGGGGTTTGTGGGAGCCATGACCCTGGCTGTCCGGCTGCTCTCCCACTAGCTGCTCATGATGTCACCTCTCCCCCAGCCTTCCCTCTTCGGTTACCTGCCTCCTTGTCCCACCCAACCCCTCCCCTGAAACCTGCTGCTTACCACCCCTGTTAACCAGCCTACTGATCCACCTCCCCCTTCACAGTTGCTGCGTCCCCACACCCCTCTTCTCGAGTGTTTCCTGCCCCACACCCACTCCCTGGCCCCTCTGTCTCCGCCGCCTGCTGGCTCCCAGAGTCCCTGAGCCCAGGCCCTGGGCCATGGAAGTGGGTGCGCTGGTGCTTGCGGAAGTTGGAGGAGTTGTTGAAAGTGCGGTCGCAGAGCGCGCAGCGGAAGGGGCGCTCGCCGGTGTGGATGCGGGCATGACCGCTCAGCACCGAGGACTGCGTGAAGCCCTTGCCGCAGACTCCGCAGTGGTAGGGCCGCTCGCCCGTGTGCACTCGCTCGTGGTCACGCATGTCCGAGGAGCGGCGGAATGGCTTGGCGCAGAACCTGCAGGCGAAGGGCTTCCCCACAGCTGCGCCCGCTGCCGCTGCCGCCATCACCACCTCTGACCGCTCGGGGGGCACCCCAGGCTCCTGTCCCCGAACCGCGGCCGCCACCTCTGAGGGCCTCTGAGAGGCCCCTGGCTCCTCCCCGTGCCGGTGCTGGTGCCGCAGCAGGGGCGCCAGAGCCTTGAAGGCCCGGGGGCAGAGGGGGCAGCGGTAGGGGCGCTCTCCAGTGTGCAGGCTGTAGTGGGCGCGCAGGCTGGCGGGGCCCGGGCAGCTGTGGCCACACACGTGGCACCGGCTTGGGTCCGCACCCTGCCCACCGCCCTCGGCCCCCGCCAGGTGGCCATGTTCGTGGAACAGCAGCTCCGAGACCAGCCGAAAGGCAGCCGGGCACAAGGCACAATGAAAAGAACCTGGCTCCGGGGGCTCGGGCACCAGCGTGGTGTCTGTCACCTTCACCACCTGGATCTCAATGAGGTCGGTCGGGGGTGTGGCGGGGCTGCTGTCATCAGGCACCAGCACCTGGAGAAGGGGGAGGGGGAGAAAAGAGGAACCTGTGGACCCTGCCTCAAGGCCTCCCCAACATGCTCCCACTGATTTAAAACCTCCATCCCTTTGTAGCATCCCGGGCCCCCTCGATTCCAGGACCTGCTCTACCTCAATCCAGACTTCCCTTCAGGTGCAGAACACATCACGATCCAGCCCTATCTCCTCCATTCCAGTTAAAAGACAGTCATTTCTTGCCTTGACAACGGAAAAAGCCTCCTGAAAGGAGCCTCTGTTATTAGCCCGGTCCTTATAACCCACCTCACCAAAGCAGCCCGAACGGCCTTTTGAAAATGGAAATCCGAGCAAGTCATTTTCCCACTCAAAACGCTTCTGTGGCTCCAACGGCACTTAAAAATCCGAAGCCGTCATAGTAATATCCCTCGAGACTGGCTCCTGCTTATCTCCCTGACCCCAGTGTAAATATAAGCCACTCCACAGCTGACCGCTCTCGTCTAAATTTAGCTCCCCAACCCCCACTCCAGCACTCCATCTTTATTTCCTCTCCAGAACACAACACAATAAATCTCCTTAATGCCTTTCTCCCCTGCTAGACGCAAGCGTCAGGGGAGCACAGTCCTTGTCTATCTGCCTCGTTCACCTACTCATCTACTTAGCACAGGCAAACAGGACTCGGTAAATGTTTATTGAATGAATGAATGTCCTCACTCCCCAGTCCCGAGTTCCTGGGGAACCTGGGAGTGGTCCCAAAGTCACCTGGAGTAGTTTCTCCCCCCAAAACCCTCTCTTGGGTATTCCAGACTCTTTGCTCTGACTCTTGCGGAATCATATCCCCCCACCCCAACGTGGGTGCCTCATAACTCGCCCTAACTCTTTGTCTTTCAAGACCACCCTCCCATCCTTCCAGCCAACTTCACGAGCCCCAGCGTCTCTCGGAGGCTCCGCCCCCTAATTAGACAAACTCAGTTCAGGACCCATCCTTTGCCCAAGCGGTCCTCACAACCGCTCCTTACGCCCCGCCCCACTAAGCCCCGCCCTTCAACCCCGTAGGCTCCCTCTTAGAGCACGCCCCCCGTTCACCCTCCCCAGGAACCCCGCCTCCAGGCCGGGGCTCTAAATGCCTCCCCCTCTCAACCTTCATAGGCCACGGCCCTGCCCCACCACCTGCCCTGCAGCCCCCTCCCGCCTCAGGTCCCCGGCCCAGGTCCCTTCCGTGTTCGCACCAGGTCCGGCGGCTCTGGGGAGCGCGGCTCTGAGGCCGTTGAACTCGGACTCCGGGGCTCCAGGCGCTCAGCTGCCATCTTGTTCCCAGGCCCCGCCCCCAAGGCCCGCGGTCGCTCTGGGAGGGGCGGGGCTAGAGCGCGTCAGGGCCACTGCGCAGGCGCACTGGACAGTGGGCGGGGCTTCCAGGTAGCTCGAGCTGTCCCACCCCCGGAGCCAGTGCCTTTCGTTCCAAATCACCTGTCACCTAGCCTCCCTTCCAAGGAGACAGCCTGCATGGGGCGCTGGGGGGGCTGCGAACTAACTGGAATGTCTCTTTTTCACCCACATTAATAGGCTCTAGGTGTCAGTTGACACTCGCCAGAATTTAATAACCTTTGTTTTGTGTTCACACAGCATGTTTTTGTCGTCACCTGCTCTGTGTGGCTCTGGATAACGCAGTAAAGCAAAGTTTACGAACGGGAGGATTTTTAAATCTGATTACAGAAAGATGTTCTGGAAACAGCAACGCTGGCGGTGGTGAGATGTAGCTCAAATTCGCAGGGTGGTGTGACGTTTGGGAAAAGACAGGCGTTTTCGGCAGCACAAAGTACCGGGCTGGGTTCTTTCTAGTTATCCACCCATTCCTTCCATGGCCTGGCTGTGTGAAGTCACCACACTCCTCTGGGTCACGTATACATTTTCGCATGTGTAAAACTGTAGAGGTGCTGTGGAAACCCAGTGGGAAAAGAGGCTCGGAAGACCTTTGGAGGTCTAGTTTTGCTGGAAGAGCGGCATAGGGCATGGCCCCAAATTATGATCATTCCCTGTTTCTCCTCCTTCTGGGAACACGGAAAGATTGCACTTTCCTTTGCAGCCAGACATGGTCATTTGTTTTTTGCTTTCCAGTGCACAACCAGTGAAGGCGATGTGTGTTAACTTCAGCCTGCAGTGAAAGCCAAGCTGAAGCAGTCGCCATGTTCTGTTCCTCCTACCACTGTATGCTTGGGTGGAGGAGGGGATCTGCTGGTTGAAGTTACTTTTCCACTCAGCCTGAGGTCCAGACTGTCTGCAGTGAACACAACCTGGTGGTGGTCTTCCTCGGAGAGGTAGCATTTAAAATACACATTTGTTCTGTCAAGCCTCTGAGTTTGGGGGCTGCTTGTTTACAGCATAATCTATTCTATCCCAACTAATACTCAGAAAGATCTTTTATTTATGTTTATCATATTATGAACTATTTTTGCATATGAAAAGGATTCAGAATAATATAAACGATTCCACCTACTCACTAAGAAACTTAGAATATACAGCATTGCTGATGCAATCTAAGTCCTCTGGGTACCTCCCCCACCATTCTCCTTCTTTCACCTGAGGCTGAGTTTGCATTTTCTGCTTCTCTTTCTCATGAATGTCTTTCTTTTTCCCTCTTTCTAAAAAAAGATTTTATTTATTTATTTTTGGAGAGGGGAAGGGAGGGAAAGAGGGAAATATCAATGTGTGGTTGCCTCTTGCACGCCCCCTACTGGGGACCTGGCCTACAACCCAGGCATGTGCCCTGACTGGGGATCGAACCCCTGACCCTTTGGTTCACATCCCGCACTCCATCCACTGAGCTATGCCAGCCAGGGCACTTTTTTTCCTTTTTTTAAATCGAATTATTGCTGTGGCATTGGTTAGTACAATTATATAGGTTTCAGGTGTACAATTCTATAATACATCATCTGTATATTGTCTTGTGTGTTCACCAACCCAAGTCAAGTCTCCCTCCTCCCCTGTATATCTTTATTTTGCTACATATATGAAATGATATGACATTGGCCACAGTCTCCACTGCTTTCACGGGCCCTGGCAGTTCTGCTTTCGTGGGCCTCTTATTTCCAAAAGATATTTTTAAAATAATATTTTAGCCCTGGCTGGCGTAGCTCAGTGTATTGAGCGTGGGCTGCGAACCAAAGTGTCACAGGTTCGATTCCCAGTTAGGGCACATGTCTGGGTTGCAGGCCACGGCCCCCAACAACTGCACATTGATGTTTCTCTCTCTTTCTCCCTCCCTTCCTTCTCTAAAAATAAATAAAATCTTTTTAAAAATGTAAAAAAAAAAGCACAGCCTAAAAAATTTAAAAAATAATATTTCATGGCTGAGTTGGTATAATGATGAACCTAAGCTAGGTTGGATTACATTCTTTTTTCCTTCTGAATTCAAAAATAATTTTTTTCGAGGACCCCTAAAAGTGTCATTGGCCCTGTATGTTTCTAATGTGGGCATTGCAATTTTGTGTGTGTGTGGAGCAACTGCTAACCTTAACTGCTCTGAATTGTCCACACTCATCACCCAGGGAATGACTTGTGCAAGTCAGGAGCGTCAGAAGCTTAAGCTTCATTAGCTTCTTGGACCTCAGTTGAATTTGTGACACTAATAGGACCTTCTCCTTCGAAATCTAGTTTCGGTCAACACAACAACCTTTAGTGAGGCTAAAGGTGTTCTGCCTGCATCTAAATTTCAGTCTTGTAATTAAGTGTGTTATCCCTATCTTCTTCCCGCTGGTGCTCCAGCGGTTGAGGCATTTTCATACATATTTTGGTCTTTGTCGCCCCCACGGGGTCTAGGAGAGTTCCTCCTTGCAACACGTATCCAATAAAAATACGACTCATCTGTCGCCTCTAAGGGGAAGGAAGGCAGGGACGACTTCAATCCTATTCGCTTCCCCTCTTGCAGCCCCGGAAGCTGGCATAGAGGAGACACTTACCGAGTATTTGTTACGTTCAGAATGACTGAGATTCAGGTCAGAGGAACTAAATGCTCTTGGAACCGTTCCTTCGAGAGTGTGTTTCCGGCCGACCAGCTTTCACATGAACACCATCCATCTCCTTGGGGATCGGAGTCCCACAACCCAGAAGGTGCGGTCCCAGCGCCTCGCATCTTTTAAAATGAAGAGTCTGCGTAGTACAGTAATGACACTGGTCTTGTAAACCAGAAAAGGGAGAAAATTTCCCCATAGACTCAAGGAGAAGGCCTGAGGCGCACCTTCAACGCCCAAAGCTGAAATTCTGTTTAAACTACTCCTTGATTCGCCTCCTCGGCAGCAGAATCTGGGCGGCCGCTCCGCATTCCGCGCGGACGGAAAGGGTCGTGCCCGGGACAGGGGTCGCAGAGCGTGAGATGAAAGGTCTCCCGGAGAGTTTGGGGCATCCTGCGGGTGGGGCGGGAAAAGACTGGAGCCGACTGACCCGACGGAGGGGGCGGGGCCGTGGGGAGGACCGGGGAGGTTGTGTCGGAGGAGCGCTCGGGAACACAGCACGGGCTAAACCGGGGAAGCCTTGGTGGGTCCTAGAGGGGCACGGTGGGAGGCAGGAGGTGTTGGAGTGCGTCGAATACAGGCTCTCCGAGGTGACTGACATTGGGAGGACGAAAACACTTGGTTGGTGTACCAGGACAAGCCTGAAAGGAAGAGATCTTGGTGTTGGGGAGATGAAGACACTCAGGGACTCTGGGGAGATCTTAGAAAAGAGGAGGGTCACCGTGATGGGATGGAACAGAGATGCAGGGAAGAGAAAACGCTCCAGGGGTCTGAAGGAGGAGATGGAGGGCAGTATAGTAAAGAAATGTATGTGTCCCACAGAGGCTGGGGGTGTGTAGGAAGACCCTCAGCTCACCCCATAAGAATTGGTTGATGGATGCAAGATGCCTGGGCAAATCCTTGGGAGCATGGGGCAGTAGTGAATGAGAAGGTCTAGAGTCTGGGCACAGGCAGGGCCAGAGAAAATCCCCCAGCTGCCGGGAGGGATGAGGAGTTTGAGGAGTAGAGGGTTGAGGATGACATAGCTAAGCAAAGATGGGGCTGGGGGGGGGGGCGGTGCAGACAGGTCCTGTGGTCACCTCAACCCTTAGCTTTCCTCTTCCCACCTTCAGTCAGTGCAATCTTCCTTTCCTTATTTCCTGCTCTGGTTTCAGGAATAACCATGAGTTCATCCTCAGGAACTGCGGATTTTCCTATTCCCAGCAACTACCCTCTCCTGAGTTAGCCTCTCCTCCTCCTCCTTCTAGGCCTTCGGCTCATCTCCTGCCCACAGGGAAGGCCAATACCTGCCCGTTGACCTCAAGAGCATATGGTACAGGTATGGCGTGGAGAGGGGAACCAGGATTTCAGTAGTGCTGGCTCCACCAGTTTATATTGCCCTGAGTGCCTGCAGGTCTTCCAGAATGCCTTTTTTTAAAAAAAGATTTTATTTATTTATTTTTAGACAGAGGATAGAGAGGGAGAGAAACGTCAATATGTGACTGCCTCTTGTGCACCCACCACTGGGGACCTGGCCTGCAACCCAGGCATGTGCCCTGACTGGGAATTGAACCCACAGCCTTTTGGTTTGCAGGCCGGCGCTGAGTCCACTGAGCCACACCAGCCAGAACCCAGAATTCTTTTTGTCTTAAAGCCCATGGCCCTTTCATGCAGACGTCTGGCACACCACCTGTGACAAGGCCTTCAAGCAGTTCAGTAATTTTTTCCAGCACGGGCTCACTCACCGGGCTTCCTGTACCTGGTCCTCTGCCCTGGCAGTCTGGGATTACAGGGGAGTCGGCTCAGCACGTCCTGGTGCTCAGGATAGTGGAGACTGAGTCTGTTGCTGAGATGGGCACAAAACGGATGGCTTTAGCTAGCGATCTGGGAATTTTCCCCAGGTCTCCACCGTCCAGCTAGGGAGATGTCAGTTGCAGAACTGGACTCTGGTTCTCTAATGGACAAGGCTGTTCTCATTTCTGGGCTGTGCTACCCAAGACGGAGTGATCTCCAACAATAGGGCGTGCTGGAAGTCTACAGGTGGCAGGGGAGCAGGAGAAAGATGGTCTCACTTCCTAGAATGATCAACCGTCTCCATATTCCCTTTAGTCTCACCCAAGAGGCAAGGGCCCCAGGTTTTAACTCTGCACTGGGTGTCCTTTGAGACCAGGGTGTTCACTGTCTGGCCTCAGTGACCTGTCAGTGGAACAGGAATGGATGATCTCCCCGCTGTGAGCAGCCAGATGGTAGTGTGACTTGCCAAATTGCGACGACATCTATATTCTTGCCTGCTCTTCCTTTCTCCCAGGTCACCCATTTTGTTCTCACTGTGCCCCCAAGTTCAAGCGGTCACTTACATACTGACCATCATGGGGTGCTCTCCACAGATCCTGTGGCTGGAGAAGCAGTTCAGGATGGTGCAAGGGCAGGTAGACCAGCTTCCACCAGGCCTTCTTACAAATCTGCAAGAGCCTCACATAGTCAGCATTGCATCTCACACTCGGAACTCTGGACCTGAGTGTGTGGCTCCTATGGAAAGCCAGTAAGGTGCTCCAGCAATTACTGCCATCTCCACCCACTCCTGACCTTCCCAGGAGTTGGCCCACTTACCCGGGTATATCCATGGGGGCGGGGGGAGGATCCTTCCTGGCTGGCTATGGAGGCCCAGGCCAGAGGTTCTTGTGCACCCTTGACCTGATTATCATTTCCCTCCTGCACTCCAGCCCTGAAGATGGATCGGCATCATACTAGCTGGCCCTGACTAGCTGTGTGACCCAGGGCTGGTGACTACCCCTCTCTGGGCTTGGTGTATGAGAATGATACTTGATTCTTGTTTTCTTGTCCTGTAATGCATTACGTCTCAAGGTCTGGGTTTCCTCAGTTGTACCACGGACTTCATAATTCTAGCTCTATGTTTTTGCTCTGCGGCAACAAACAACTCACTAGCCCTTCATGGTTTCGGTTCCCATTTGAAGCTACCTTATTTTCTTTTTGTAAAAAGTCTTCCTTGTGCGTAGTCTTATTTATGATAGAAAGACTGGCTCCTGGAGCCCGGAAGAATAAAATGTCACTTTTCGGAGAAAAGCCAACCCTTTTGTCTTCTCTTCTGCGTCTATCACGTCGTCGGTGACTTTATAGACTGGGGTTGCTTTGGTTTTTCCCGTTGCAGCCCGGAACCACTGTCTTCTGTGTTTGTTTCCCGCCGGGGCGGATTTCTGGGACTCCCCATCTGGCCTCAATGGCGACGGGAGTGGGAGATGGGATTTGAGCTGTCCGGCTACATCACCAACGCGCGGGGCCGCCCCCTGAGTTGTTTCCCAGCGTGTTCGGACCTAAGAGGTCACCGCACCGCGAATCACTGCCGAGAGGTCGGGGTGAACCAGCGAGCGCTGTGCAATGTCGGGAGTGCTATGCTGAAACCATAGAGACGCGGGGTAGAGGAGCCGGTGGAGTAGAGACGTCTCTGGGCAGGTAGAGAAGCCTTAAGCCATGGGCCGAGGTCCCAGGATTTGACAACTGGGGCGCACGTGTCTCGGGATGCGGGATGGAGAAGGCCTGAGCTGGTGAGTTTGGGGAAGAACTTCACTTACCCCCTGCCGTCCTCCAGGCTCAGGGTCCCAGAGTTGACCATGCCCCTGATTCTTCTGGAGGTCATGGGCCCCCCCGCCCTCCTTGGGGAGTTTACCCCTGACTGGCTCCCACCTCTTCCTCCACCTCTGCCTACGGACCTGGTGTTCCCTGTCTGTGCACATGGAGGAGGCACCCTGGCCAGAGCCCGAGCCCCCCAGGACCCTCACTTGTCCCCAGTGTCTGCAGGACTTCAAGAGCTTCCTGGCCCCGGGGAGCCCCTGCATCTCCCACTCAGAACTCCTGCGCACCGACTGCGGTCAAGCCTTGGAGCTCCCCAGCCGTCTACAGGCATCGCTTCCTACACCAGCCCGGCTGGAGCCGGCTCACGCCTGCCCACTGTGCCCTGGCGTTTGCTGGAGGCACAGAGCTCGCCTCATACATCCCGGACCGCTAGGCTGGAAGGGCTTTTCTGGGTGTTAGGGGAGTCGCAGGGCTCCACAGAATCTTGTTTCTTGCTCCGAGAGTAGAGGCCGGGGCCTCACTGCTTACTGGCTGTGGAATCTGAGCCAAGGGCCTGCCTCTCTGGGCCTCAGGTTCCTCATTCCCGAAATAGGGGATGTCGTGTCCCCAGCTATCTTGGCCAGGGTGAGAGGCAGAACCGACCCCTTTGACTGCCACAGCCCCTGTTTTTGGCCTGGGGTCAGTCACTGTCCAATTGTGGCACACAGTTCCCCAGCCTGTCGGTGGGGTAGAGCTCCCATTACCCATGCACGAATAAATGGAGACATGGATATTCCCGGTGAGCTACACACGTCTGACTCTGTATTGCTCCATCGCTTCCTTGTAGCAGCTCATGGTGCTTGCTGAGATGGGCTCGAATAAACATTTGTTAGTCTTGGTTCTTTTTAAATTGCTGGGGTAGGAGCTGGAACCCAAACAACATAGGACCCTCTATTTTGTGGGTGGGAGTTCTTGGCCAAAGTGCTTTCTTAGGGGCACCTTCCTTTGCTCGGGAGGTCAGAGCCATCCGGAATCTCATCCCTGCAACCACTTCCAGACCAAAAAGTTGGCAGCATCCAGGTCTGCAGGTGGAGCCAGGGCTCAGGGGAATGGGTTGGTGCAGCACAGATGGCATTTTTAAAGAATTTTTAAAATTTGCCTGTCTGGTGTAGCTCAGTGGACTGAGCGCGGGCTGTGAACCAAAGTGCCACAGGTTCGATTCCCCTCAGGGCACATGCCTGGGTTGCAGGTCAAGGCCCCCAGCAACCACACATTGATGTTTCTTTGTCTCTTTCTTTCTCCCTCCCTTCCCTCTCTAAACATAAATAAATAAAATTAAAAAAAATTTGCCCTGGTTGGTGTGGCGCAGTGGATTGAGTACTGGCCTTCGAACCAAAGGGTCGCCGGTTCGATTCCCAGTCAGTGCACATGCCTGGGTTGCAGGCCAGGTCCCCAATGCGGGGGGCGTGCAAGGGGCAACCACACATTGATGTTTCTCTCCCTCTGTTTCTCCTTCCCTTCCCCTCTCTAAAAATAAATAAATAAAATCTTTTTTAAAAAAGAACTTTTAAAATTTATTTATTTTTAGGCACTTAAAAAGATATTATTTGTTTATTTTTAGACAGAGGGCAAAGGAGAGAGAGGGGGGATAGAAGCATCAATGTATGGTTGCCCACTGGGGACCTGGCCCACATCCCAGGCATGTGCTCTGACTGGGAATCGAACCGGTGACCCTTTGGTTCACAGGCCAGTACCCAATCCACTGAGCCACACCAGCCAGGGCAACAGGTGGCATTTTTAGGGTCTTGCCTAGCTGAGCAGTGAGGACTGGGTTTGAGGTGAGGGATGTACTGGTCTCTGGGGCAGTGGGCCTTGCAGACTGAGAAGCCCAGTGAGGGAGGGTTGAGGAGACCCGGGCTGGGTGTGGAGAGGAGGGTGGGAAGCCTGGCAGGTGGATTACTTGGACCCAAACTGACCCAAAGGCACAGGGATTATTGGATGGTAAGATGCGTTAGTGTGGGATGAACGGTGGTCATTGAGAAGAGGGTGGTCCAGGAAAGGTGACCAAAGGGGGAAGGGCTCAGATTGCAGGCTGGGAAGGGCTGGGAAGTGAGGGGGCTGGAGTGGGGGGCACCAGGCTTGAGCACCATCCCTGCTGAACCTCTCTTGCTCCCTGAGGCTCAGCGCCGTGCCCGCTCTCCTGGATGTGAACTCGCTGTCTGCACTGACTGACCTTCGGGGGATTTGATAACCAGTCAGTCTCAGGGGAGTCGGAAAGAGACTGCAGGAGGCCACGGCGTTTATTCAGCAGTGAAGAAGTCCCCGGATGGGAGTCCTGAGAGTGCGAGCAGAGGCAGTTTCCCCAAATCTGGGGCCTGAACCAAGAAGTCAGAATGGCTCACCGTGGCTGACTGGTCAGGGTGGGTGAGGCGAGGGGCAAGAAAGGTGGCTGGGGCCGATGGGGAGAGGTCTTGGGTGCCAAGCCAGGGGGTTCTACCTGCAGGCAGAGCTGTGGGTGGATCCTAAGCAGGGGAGGTGTTAGATCCTTCCTGAGCTGGTGGGTTGGTGTGGCAGAGAGGAGACGCCTAGCCAGTCTGGGCGTCAGGACACACAGGCTTCTGGAAGGCTGAGGAGCCGCCTGCCCACAGAGCAAGGGGAAGGGATTCCAGGCAGAGGAAGACACATGAGCCTTTGCACCTAGAGAGCCCAAGTTCAAGGTCTAGTCCAGACTTCGAGATTCTGGCTGTAGGTGGCGCACTGGAGTGAGAGGTGAGGTAAAGAGGCCGGGCTGCCTCATCCCAGGTGAAAGAACTTGGGAGCTTGGTCCCTGAGGGCACCAGGGGCCGTGACAAGGTTTCGAATGGTGCAGAAGGTCCATTTGACACAGCTGTGAGGAGGGTGTCGGGTCAGCGTGGGAGGGGAACTGGGGGCCAGAGACCAGGGGGAAGGCAGGTCCAGGAGCCGGGGCACCAGAGGAAGAGGCCAGAGCTGGGGCTTGGGGCTGAGGCATACAGCTCAGAACATTTCAGGATGAGGAAGTGGACAGAACCTGGTGCCTGTCTGGCTGTGGGAGGGGGGAGTGTGTGTGCATGGGGTGTGTGAGGACATTTGAGATTCCAGACTTGTGTGGATGGTGGGGCCCCATCACGATCATGTCCTGGGGAAGAAGAGTTTTTTTTTTTTTCCTGTGGGGTGGTGGTTATAGATAATGCTATACTTTTGGAGGGAGTGGTTGCACTCATTCATTCATCATGCAGTCAGAGCCCCTCCTCTCTCCCCAGGCCTTTGTTGGGTCCTGAGGATACAATGTTAACTGGGACAGGGCCGGGCCCTGCCTTGGTGGAGAGCTGGGAACCCAGGCAGCGAAACTGCAAGTCCTTAAATGGGCAAGAGCACCATGGATGGCTACTTGGGATGCAGAGGAACTAAAACAATATGGCAGAACGTCGCCTCCTTGACCTCTGACATGACCTGTGAAGCTTCTGTGAGGAAGTGGCACTTGAGAATGAGTGGCCCAGAAGGACCTGTCCTTGTGAAGGGAACAACACACACACAGGCTCTGGAGGTGGCAGAGGTTTTGGAGGTAGCAAGGTGGTGACAGGGAGGACCCAGTCCACACAGGGCCTGAGGGCTTCTGGGGTTTACTCTGAATGCAGGGAGGAGGGTTTTAAATGAGGAAACAATAGCTTAAAAAAAAAGATGCTGCGACATTGCCATAGAGAAAGAGGTGGGAGGAGGCAGAGAGATGGGTAGGTGGCTGTTGCTGTAAATTGGGGTTTGCTCTGGGGTGGCAGCAGCCGTGGCTTGGGGAGAAGTGTGAGGAAGCTTGGAAATAGTGGTCACATGACCTCTCCAAGCTTCCTCCTCATCTAGAAGCACCTACCTCATGGATCTGCTCTGAGGACATGGTGCATCCAGCAATAGTCAGGGCTCAGTAAGTGGGTCATTGTCATGATCTCTGGGGATGGGGTGAGCAGGAGGCTAAGATTGGGTGGTGGTCTACACCTGTGCACCAGGAGCAAAGTGAAGCCCTGGGGCACATTTGACCCCCTGTGTTGTCACAAGGGGAAGGGGGGCTGGGAGGGTGCCCGCCAGGGATGCTGCTCAACCTCCTACATTGCACACGACATAAAGAATGTCAGTAGTGCCAAAGCTGAGAAGCCCAGGTGTGGATGGAAGGCAGTGTTGCCCCTTTAAATCAGGCGTGTCCCCCTCAGCCTCCCCTGTCCCCAGCTCTACCAGGCTGCTGTCCAGCAGAAATAGAAGGTGAGCCACACTAAAACCAGTGGAAAGGAACAGGTGACATTGATTTTGATAACATTCTGTACTTAATCCAATGTGTCCAAAATCCTATTGTTTTAAAGATTTTATTTATTTATTTTGAGGGAGAAGAGAAGGAAGGGAGGAGAGGGAAAGAAACATTGACATGAGAGAGATACATTGATCGGTTGCCTCTTGTATGCCCCTAACCAGGGACCTGGCCTGCAACCCTGGCGTGTAGCTGACTGGGAATCCAACTGGTGACCTTTCGGTTCTCAGGCCCGCACTCCATCCTCTGATGCACTAAGCCACCCCAGCCAGTGCCAAAGTCCTATCGTTTTAATAGTAAATCAATATAAAAGTTATTCATGAAATTGGTCATTCACTACAAAGGCTTGGGAATCTTTTGGATGCCCTTTTTGGCCCTCAGAAGTGAATCGCTGCAGTCCCAAAAGGTAGGTAGTCATGAGCCACTTGTGTCTTTTTAGATTTAAATTAAGATAAATTTAAAATCCTTATCCTCAGCTTACTAGCCACCATGGAGTGCCAAAAAAACCAAAAACAAAAACAAAAAAAACCCCACACCAACCCCCCCTAAAAAAAACCCAAAACAAAAAACAAAGCCACGTGGCTAGTGGCTGCCCCATTGGACAGCGTGCAGATCCCAGACCATTTCCATCATCGCATCAAGTATTTTGACAGCTCTCCAGGATGCAGTTCTGGCCACGTTTTGGGGGCCCAGAACTGGATCTGACAATAAGGCCTCCATTCCCCTCGGCGTCCCTAGCCCCAGATACTACTGCAGCGCTGTCCTTCCTGCCCTGCCTTGGGACGGTGGTCCCCGGCGGTCTCCCTACCGTCTGCAGTGCGCTCCGGCTGGCGTCACTATCGGCTCCGGGATGTGCACTTCAAGTTCACGGCCCAGCTGGAGAATGAACTGGGGGCACCCCGAGTGCAGTCCTCGCTTGCACCTACTGCGCCACTGGGATCGCACTCCACACTGAAGTCCTTCGCGGGCGTCGCTTCTCTGCCTCAATTTCCCCCTCAACCAACTGCGTTTTGGCCGGTACCAGCAAGACAAGGGCAGCTGCTGCTCCCTGGGCCTCAAGCTTCCCTGCCCAGTAGGATGTGCTGTCCCCAGTCCCCCTCCTGTCTATCCGGCTTTGTCTGACCTTCTCTGGGCCTCAGTTTCTCCATTTGCCTGGTTGGAGAATCCTGGCTGTGCCACATCAGAATCAACGGCCGGCCTCTGGACCTCGGTCTCGCCATTTGCCCCGCCGACAGACACATCCCTCCAGCCCTGGGCACTGTGGGGCAGCGAATGCAGGTGGAACCTCCAGTGGACACATAACAAGCTGGGCGCGCCTATTCCTTGGGGGACTTCGGGCGGACTTACCGCGCCTAACCCCAATTTATAAATTGGTCCCTCACTGTGACGGTACTGTTCCTGTCGGGCTGAGCGGGGGGCGGGCTCTGTGGTTCCCGCGCACTCCTACCCTGGATGCTCAACCTAGGCCGGCAGTTAGAGCGGCCCGTCCAGGGACGGCGGAACCTTCGTGGCAGCGCGCGCGTTTCTGGCCGGCGCCCTTTCCCAGGGACGCAGCTGTCCTTCGCGCCCCCGCGCCCGCACCCCCCGCGCTCGCGTCCGGGGCGCCGCCGGCCCGGAGGTCCCGGAAGTCTCGCTCCTGCTGCTGCCGGCATTCGCGAGGGGAAACCCGGGCCGCCCGGGACCTCGGCCCGCTCCTCCGGACCCGAGAGGCCGCCGCACCGGGTAGGGGGCCGTCACAGAGGGAGGAGGGGGCCGCGAGGCCGGGCAGGGCGGGGGAGGGGTCGGCCCTCCTGGGTGGGGGTGGGGCTGGGAGGGGGTGAGGGGCAATGGGACCCCAGGGTGCAGCGGGGAAGGGGTTGGAAGGCCCTGCTGTGTATAGCGGGACGAGGAGCGGAGAAATAAAGATGTCAGCTGCACACAGAGGGGCGGGCCAAGGGGTCTTGGGAAAGATAGTTTGGGAAAGGGACTCCGGAGGCCCTGGTGTGTGCGACCGGGAGGGGGAGGGGAAAAGATGAAGATGGCAGTGGTTTATGTGTGAGGTACTCTTAAGTGGCGGATGGGAGATTCAGGAGCCGCAGGGTACTTAGAAAGCAGGCAGCTGAAGCTCCTGGGGACGTAGATACAAAGTGCAGACGGTGGGTGGGGGAGTGGGGTGAGGATGTGGGGACCACGAAGTGCTAAGGGTAGGAACAGGCTAGAGGAGCTGGACTGAAAAGTCGGGATTTGGGTTAGTGAGGCTCTGGGGATGTACCTAGAGAGGTAATTGAGAGGACTCGGATGTCCCTGTGTATGGGGAGGACTTACAGCGCACCTGGTGGGGATAGAGATACAGGAGGGCCTGGGAAGCAGAGAAAGGGTCGCTGCGTGGTCCTGGGGAAGGATGCAACCTGAAGTGGGGCTGGGAAGCAGAGGAAGCAAACGACCCTTCCCCAAACTTCCGAAGGGCCCGGGGCCGAGCTAAAAGCCTGAAAGATGTAAAGATGGGGAAATAGACGTGGTTGTTGATTGGCTCTTGTGAGGAAGTGGCAGGATGATGCCGTCTGGTGGGGTCTGGGGCTGGGAGGAGGATGCAGCAGGAAAGGCAGGTTGAGGCCCAGGTATGCTCAGTTGGAGGCGACCCAAAGCCTCTTGGAACCTAAGCTATCTGTCGTGGAGTCAGAGGTTCTTTTTTGTAGGGAGACAGGTTAGTGGTGCAGAGGAGCAGCATTGAGAAGGGGCACACTTTCCCCAGTAGTGGCGATGTTAACTTCTTTCCCTCCTCGCCTCTCCCAGTTGCCGCTCCAGATGCTGCTGCTGCCCCCGCGGCCACCCCACCCTCCGTCCTCCTCTCCGGAGCCCATGGACCCACCGTCCCCCAAGGCTCCCCCTTTCCCCAAGACGGAAGGGCCTTCCTCCACTCCTTCCTCAGTGGCGGGGCCCCGACCCCCACTGCTGGACAGACACCTGCTCATCGACGCCAACGGGGTCCCCTACACATACACAGTGCCGCCGCCTGAGGAGGAGCCCCGGCCCCCGCCCCCGCGAGTGTCACCCCCACCAGAGCCCAGCCCTCGAAAGGGCTACAGTTGCCCGGAGTGCGCTCGTGTCTTTGCCAGCCCTCTGCGGCTGCAGAGCCACCGCGTGTCGCACTCGGACCTCAAGCCCTTCACTTGCGGTGCCTGCGGCAAGGCCTTCAAGCGCTCCAGTCACCTGTCCCGGCACCGCGCCACGCACCGTGCCCGCGCGGGCCCGCCGCACACCTGCCCACTCTGCCCACGCCGCTTCCAGGACGCGGCGGAGCTGGCGCAGCACATGCGCCTCCACTAAGTCCAGACCTGGCCCTGGGCCTCGGCGTTCGACCCACACAGCGACACAACCACACACACTCCCCGGCCCTGCTGAGGCTACTGCCTTACCCCAGGCCTCAGTTTTCCTATCTAACCAAAGGGAGAACTGTCATTCCTTCATTCATTCCCTCCCTTTCTCCCTAGTTGTGTGATGTAGATCAAGTCGTTGACCCTCTCTGGGCCGGGGAACCAATCCCAGCTGGGTTCCAGCCCAGCTGTGCTGTGCGAGCATTTGCAAATGACTTAACCTCTGTGAGCCCCGGCTTTCTGCTCCGAAGTGGTGAAAGGTTGTCCGCATAGATTTGACAAAAGCACGGGCACAGCTCCTGTCTGTATCTTCCCCTTCCACCCATGCCCCTCACCCTTTGCTCAATAAACATTCCACACTTCACTTCGGGAGCTTTTTTTCTTCCGACTGCAGCGGGAGGTAGCGGGGTTGAGGGTGGAACCCGGGCTTAAGCACCGGGGAACCTTTCTGTTGGTGTGTGTTTCTGGCCGGAGCCGTTTCCCAGAGGACCCAAGCGCCCCTCTCCTTTTCCTCCCCTGTACCCTCTTCAGTGTCTACCCTTCACCCCTGCTCCCACAGCCTCCTCAGCAGTGTTGCTGGCTTTAGGGGCACCAGCAGAGGCCCCCTACCCGCCGCCGCCTGCCACTACGGGGTTAGCTCGGGGCCGGTCTGGAGTCGCCCGGACCTGAGAGGCTGCTGCACCAGGTACGGCGGCCGGTGGGTTGGGATCGCGGAGGGGCGGGATCCAACTAGCGGGAACCTGGGCGTGGGGCGGGTTGCTCCGCGGGCTCCGGGCGGGCGCTGCCCACAACTCGCAGAGAGGCCGGAGGCCGGGCGCGGGTGGACCTCGGGAGAGCTAGGACCTAGCAAGATCTGGGGTGGATGGGCGTGCACTGGAGAGCCTGGAGGTAGCCGGCCAGGGGTGGCCAGAGGTGTGCAGGGAGGTGGTCAGCGCGGCATGGGACGGGGCCCTGCGGTGGCAGCCCGCATGAGGCTGGGGTGTGTAGAGAGGGGTAGACAGGGTTTGTGGGTGGAGTGTGTAGGGTCAGTGGGCAGTAGAGAAGGGACAGAGAGGCTTGGAAGTATTTTGGATGGGGTAGCCAGAGTACAGGGGGCAACCAGTGGCCTGCGGAGGGCAGGGAGGTGGGAGACAGAACGCCCCAGGATGGGCCTACAGTGGGCGGTGGGGCCAAGGACAGGAGGGGTTTCTTAAGGAGGGAGACTGTAGGAGGCTTGCAGAGGGTCACAGACTAGAGGAAAGATGGAGAATGCAGTAGTGCTGGGCAGACCCACAGAGAGGGGAGAATGGAGCCGTGGGTCTAAGCTTCCCTCCTCTGTGTAACCTGCCCCTCTCTCCCACCAACCAGGCCTCAGCCACCCTCCGGATGCTGGTGCTGCTGGGCCCCTGGCCCCAGTCCCCAGCGCTGCCCTCCGCTGAGGCCATGGAGGACCCTCCCCCTCGGACAGGCCGGTCCCCCGAACCTGGACCTTCCTCCTCCACAGGATCTCCCCAGACCTCGTCCCCTCCGAGGCCCAACCACTACCTGCTCATTGACACCCAGGGCGTCCCGTACACCGTGCTGGTGGACGAGGCTCAGAGGCAGCCCGGGACCAATGGGGCTTCAGCTCAGAAAAAGTGCTACAGCTGCCCGGTGTGTTCCCGGGTCTTTGAGTACATGTCTTACCTGCAGCGACACAGTATCACCCACTCGGAGGTGAAGCCCTTTGAGTGCGACACCTGCGGGAAGGCATTCAAGCGGGCCAGCCATTTGGCACGGCACCACTCCATTCACCGGGCTGGTGGTGGGCGGCCCCATGGCTGCCCGCTGTGCCCTCGCCGATTCCGAGAGGCCGGGGAGCTGGCCCAGCACAGCCGGGTTCACTCCGGGGAACGCCCGTTTCAGTGCCCTCACTGCCCACGCAGATTTATGGAGCAGAACACGCTGCAGAAGCACACCCGGTGGAAGCATCCGTGAGCCGGGGATGCGGGGGTACCCCTGGTACCATGGATCTAGGGGAGCCTGGACTCCTGTCATCCTCAGACAGCCAGAGAGCACCCCAGGCTGAGGCTGGGTAGCTGGGTCCTGGACACAAACATAAACCCACCTGTTCTGGGCACTGAGCCCTGTGTAAGGAGGAGCACAGGGGTAATCCTCAGGCCCGTGTTTTGGAGACAAGATGGGAACAAGACCTCACATTCACAGAGTGGAGTCCTCTAGCCTCAGTGGTATCAGAATTATTCCAGGCTGAGCCCTGACCGGGAGGTGTTGGGGAGACTGCTGGGTGTGGAAATTCTCTGGCTTGGAAAGGAGGTTGGGGGCCATCAGGAGCCTGCACCATCTTCCTGAGGCCTACTTGCTGATGTTGGGGGTCAGGGGCTCCAGACCTGTCTCCCAGCTCCAGCCAGGGGCCCAGAGTAGACACCCAATAAACCCGTTTTCCACTTTGAGCGCCTGAGGCATTTTTTGGGAACAAGGCTCAGCTCACCGGCTGGCTGCCCAGCAGGGAGACTCGGTAAGTGCCTGGCGGGCCTCTGCGTGCCCGGCTAGGGAAGGGGTTAGTCCTCGCTTGGTTCCTCAGGACCTGTGTCCTCTAGGTAGTGTGTTTCTAAACTTATTTTTTAAAAACATTCTCCACTGTAAGAAACACATTTTATATGGCAACCCAGTGTATGGATGTACCAAGTGTGTGTGGAATAACAAATCACCTCTTCCATGGGCAGGTCACTCTGATATGTTAATCTATGATTTTTTTATATTGCTGATCCCAGTCTATTACATTGAATTCTCTGCCCATGAACCTGTAGTGTGAAAAACACCTATTTAGGGCTGGTGCCTCCCAGTGGGCGTTTTGACTGATGCTGCCGTTCATCTGTAACGGGAGCAGGTGGGAGTGTGGCCCCAGCTCTCAGCGTCGCAGACACCTAGGCCCTGGCACAGCAGGGTTCAAGATGTGTTTGCGGGAGCGCTGGCAAAAGTCCCAGAGCCTGAGGCTTCCCTGTCAGGCCTCCAGTGACACGAACTTGAACTCTGACTATGGCCTGGCGCTGGGCTGGGCATTGGTGTGTGTCACGTCACTGCATCCTCCCCACTTTACAGGTGAGTATACTGAGGCCGGGGAGAAGCAGCGGCCAGGACGGGGTCGAGGTCTGAACGTGGCAGAACACCCACATAGGCCCCTATTTTCAGGGAGTGGGTAACACTCCCTCGAGATCCTGGGAACCGTAGATCGTTTAAGGGGCCCCTCCTCGTACTTTAACTTTCCCGGTTACCCTCTACATGTCTCCAAATCCCCCGGCCTCTTCCGGGGCCGACTCGGTGCACACACAGCCACCCGGGGAAACCCCGGAGCCACCGGCTCTCCAGGAATTGGGAATTTCATGACGTTCCCTGCGAGGCCCGAGCCGGGCGGGGGAAGGGAGGGCTGCCAGGGGCCATCGCGCAAGTGCGGCCCCGGCCTCCGCCGCACACGACAGGCCTCACCGGAGGCCGGGGCTACGGGAGGAGGCGCGCCTACTGGAGGACCGGGAGAGCATCCCTGTCCGCCCCGAGAATCGCCGTCCCTGACGGCCTGCCCGCCGGTGGGTGGGCACCTCCCTCTGCTTCCCGCTACACTCTACAGACACTCCCCGGAACCGGGCATGGGCACCGCAGCAGTCGGTTCCCGGGCCGGATTCCGCTCGTGGGTGGGTGAGCACGGGATCCCGACTCGGGGGACCGGAGGGTGGCCGCGCCTACACCCACAGCCTGGCGCACACCCCGCTAGAAACCGTTGCCACCTTCGCTCCCCCTCCCATCCCCGGGACAAAGGGCGGGGGCGGACCCCACGCGTGACCTTCCCCTGCAGTGCGCACGCGCCTAGCCTCCCACCGTGGGGAAGGGGCTATGCTTGCTCACGCGAGTGCGGGGGAGGCTCGTGGGTTCCCATGGGTGGGAGAGGCGCTGCACTTGGGCTGGACCCCCACCCCATGCCTGGAAGTTAAGGGCAGGCTCCCCATGCACCTCTCGCACCTTTTGGCCCCGAGGTGACTCGTTCTGGCCAGGATATCTCATCTGTGGACCCCACCGGACTCCGCTTCTTCTTCCCTGGGTACTTGTGCAGCTGCCCAAGAGTTTGGGCCCCCAAGGCGTCCTCCTATCAGACCCAGAGGCCCTGGTACTCAGCACTTCCCCACCCCACCCCCCAGCCCTGAGAAGTGTGTCCCACCTCCTGAGATGTCCCTCCATCTGTGGCTGCTCTTTCTGTCCAGTGCTTCTGAGGCGCCCAGCTGCTGGGGTCCGTGGGAGGCTGCACCATGAGTGACCGAAACAGCCGGAGGAGGACACGTGAGGAAGCTGGGACCCTGCCCCACCCTTGGTCCCACTGCCACTCTGCCATGCCTGCCCCCTCCTTTCCAGGGTTGAGGGGACTTCCCTGGGCTGACCCCTCTGCCTCTTCTCTCTAGTGAAGAAGGACGACGAGGCCTTCGAGGTCTCTATTCCCTTCGAGGAGACGCCCCACCTAGATCCACAGCTCTTTTACAGTCTGAGTCCCTCTCGGGGAAACTTCGATGGTGAGCTGGGGGCGGGGGGGGGGCAGTGGGCAGGGCAGGGCAGGGAGGACATGGAAGCTTGGGTATGACTAGGGTCCTTGGCTGCCCTAGAGCCTCCGGAGGCTGCGTCCCCAACCATGGCCCTGATGAATGGTGTCAGGGCCCAGCTGCACATGGCCCTGGAGAGGAACTCATGGCTGCAGAAGCGCATCGAGGACCTGGAGGAGGAGAGGGACTTCCTGCGGTGCCAGCTGGACAAGTTCATCTCTGCTGCCCGCACAGATGCTGGTGAGGTGCCCTGTGAGCCAGTCACCTCCATGACCCCTCCTGGGTCCCAGCACCAGCCCTTCTCACGCACATACTCCTGCTCTGGGGGCCCAGTGGGGGCCAGACAGCTGTGCCTTCTGCATAGTCCTCTGGCGTCTCTGGGACCCAAAACCCAGCTTCCCTCCTGCCTCTGCTGACCAGCAGGATCCTGTGCCCCATTCCTTTCCCAGTTAGTCAGGGCGTTCCTTTGACAGGTATTTAGCTGTGCTTTGGTGAACCCCACCCACATACTCCACCCCTCGGCGCTCAGCCCCCTGGCTGGCTCCCTTCCAAGGTCCCATGTTCCTCTCTGTGAATTCCACCAAAAGGCTGGGCAAGGATGTTGGGGACCCCTGTGCTCCAGAACCCCTTCTAGATGTCCAGAGTGCACTATCCTGCAGGTCCAATGAGGTCCCCAGGAAAATCCTCCTCCACTGTGGGAACCCCAGTTACAGACTTCTCCAAGGTCCCCAGTCCAAGTGTAGGATGTGCCCCAGACCTCTTGCCACCAAACTTTGGTGTCAGATGAATGTCCTCACCCAAGCCCCACCCTTCTTCACTTTGACTCCCAAATCCCAGCTGACTGTGGTGTATTCAGCCATCTGTGCAGGGACCTCAGCATTATACAGCACTTCTGGTCCTTCACGGGGACCTGTGTGATGTCACAGCCATCCCCACTTTGTGGACAGGTCTCTTGCCTTCTCGCCCCTCATGTTCCCACAGTTCATGTGTGTCTCTCCCCCCATCTCTCTCCAGAGGACCACTGCAGGGTGAAGCCTGGGCCCCGGCGAGCTGAGGGCGATGGCCGGGGTGGGGCTGCGGGTGAGGCCTCCGACCCTGAGTCCGCTGCCTCCTCGTTCAGCGGGGTGTCTGAAGAAGGCAGCAACATGGACAGGAAGAGGCAGAAGCAGAAGGGAGGCGCTGGCAGAAGGCGTTTTGGGAAGCCCAAGGCCCGGGAGAGGCAGCGGGGTGAGGGGAAGGCTCGAGGAGAGGGGTCTGGGTGGGTACCTGCTGTGTCACCTCTCCTCCCCACCTGTAACTGATTGGACCTACCAGTGGCTCCCAGCCTCCATGTGTGGTCTCCATTTAGTCTTCACACTTTGGTCCACCCTCCCTACGCTGCCCTAGCCTCAGTAACAGAGGGCGGTGGCTCAGGCCTGCTGGGAACCCATCCCTCTGAGCTGCTGTAGGGTTCCTTTTTCCTGCTGATTTTTTCCTCTGGCCTTCCTCCGATTTTCCCCCTCCTCCAAGATCTTGCTTTCTCCCGTCCGCGCTCTTCTCACCTGCTTTTCCTTCTTTTCCTTCTTTTCCCCATTTTGTTGGCCGTTCCTGTACCGGGCTCCTCACTTAACACCTTTCCCTTCTCCATTCCTTTGCTCAGTGGGCCCTTGACCCCATATGTCCCTTGTCCCACTTATCTCCCATTTCTCTCTGCCTTCTGCTTCATGTCTGTCTCTCTATTCTCCCCTTCTTGGCCCTGCAGTGAAGGACGCTGACGGTGTCCTCTGCCGCTACAAGAAGATCCTGGGCACCTTCCAAAAGCTGAAGAGCATGTCGCGGGCCTTCGAGCACCACCGCGTGGACCGCAACACGGTGGCGCTGACCACGCCCATCGCGGAGCTGCTCATCGTGGCCCCAGAGAAGCTGGCGGAGGTGGGCGAGTTCGACCCCTCCAAGGAGCGTCTGCTTGAGTACTCCCGCCGCTGCTTCCTGGCCCTGGACGAGGAGACCCTCAAGAAGGTGCAAGCCCTCAAGAAGAGCAAGTTGCTGCTTCCCATCACCTACCGCTTCAAGCGGTGATCCCGCTCCACCTGGCCCCGGCCACGCCCTCCAGCCCTTGCTCCACTTCCCTCCCATCCCCTGCCTGGCACAGAGAGCGTGTGCATTAGTGGGGTGCCCCTCGCCAGGGCCTGGCAGCGGGCAGCGTGCTTCTGTGTGTGCCTCTCTCCTCCCCCTCCTGCAGACGCCCACTCCCGCCCCAGGTCCCTTGTATATACAATAGATCTGCTCTCCTTTCACCCCACTTTCCCAGCATCCTTCCCATTCCCACAGTTGGGAAGGTCTCACTTAACCCAGTTCCCAGGGACCTGGTAAACACTGGCACCCCTCCTGCTCTCGCTGGGCCCTTCCTCCTAGGAAAAAGGCGGGACTCTGAGGGGCGGGGACACTGTACATACCGGCCTCTGCCCCCAGCCCCGAGGACCCGCATTCTGGACCTTCCCCAACTCCTCGTGAGATAGAGAATTATTCAAAGAATTTAAATTAAAAAAGATGATAAAATTTGGAATAAACTAGGCTTCGGCCTCTTCCTGGGAAGGGGGTGGCCGTTGCCACAGCGACGGTGGCGGGACCTTGAAGGGCTCCAGGGAGCGGGCGGTTCAGGCGGGGAACGGGGAGGTTGGGGAGACAGGGTGTAATTAGCCCCTGGAGGCAGCGGAGGGAGGCAGAGAAGCAGCTGTATCTCGGGAGCTCGCAGGGGCAGAGCTCTGGAAGAGGCGTGAACACTACCCGCTGGGCCATTTGGACAAGAGACGCAGCGGCAGCAGGGTGGATTCGGTGACCTACAGAGTGGGCGGCCACTGGGGAAACAGGCAGTAACGGGGAGGCTTCCGCCAGCCCGCCAGGAGGCGGTAATGCGAAATTCTAGGTCTCCTGGAAACGACCTGTACCTTGCCTGCTGCGCTTGCGCGGCGGGAGGAAAAGAGCGCTAATGCGGTTGCTACGGCAACCAGGAGACGGCGGCTTTGCTTAACCATCGGGAAATTCAGAACTTTGGCTGGAGGAAAGGAAAAAGGTCTCGCGCTAACGCACGCGCACTGGGGTCTCTAGAACCCGTCCCCTTCCCGGAGCAGTGAGAAACCTCGACACAAGACCGACCTCTACGCAGGCGCAAAAAGCTGTCTCGCGTCCCAACGCTTCCACCCTGCGCAGGCGCACATAGCTGCGCTGCCAACCTCCGCAGCGGCCGCGCGCACCCTTCATCCCGCTGGCTGCTTTTGTCTCGCGCAACCTTTTTAGGTCTTCCACGAGATCGGTCCTTTTCCTACACTCTCCCCACCAGGAGAGCCAGGTGGGAACCGGGACCCCCGCCCCTCCCTGTATCCCTTCCTTTGACCCACCTCGTCTCTGTCCTCCCTCCCTTTTCGGTTCCCGACGCCGGAAGGAGCCGAAGCCCCGACGGAAAAAGCCGAAGCCTTCTCCGTGACCGAGGCCTTCCCGAAGCGGTGGCGGAAGGGGCCGAAGTTGCGAGAGGGGAGGAGAGAGCGAGTGGAATCTCCGGAAATAACCGAAGCTTGGAATCGAGCTTAATCTTTGGCTGATTTCGAGGGCGAGCTCCAGAAACCTTCGGGAAGTGCTTGAATCCCGGGACGGTTAGGCTTGTCGGAAGTAGCGGATTTTTCGGACAGGGCCGGCGGAGTAGAGTGGGGAACACCGGAGGAGCGGCCCAAGAGGGACCATTTGAATCGTCGGAAGAAGCCGAACCTTTGGCGGGGTTGCCGCTGGACGCAGTGGAAGGCGAGGATCTACGGGAACACCCGAACGTTGAAAAGCTCGTTTTCGAAAAGTTACGACAACCTGGGAACCTGGCAAAATCCTCCCTTCGGGTGTTTTCGGAATAAGCCAAAGCCGCCGCGCCCAACTCCATACTCTACTGTCCGGAAATAGCTGACGCGCTTCGGGACCAGGCTCTGGGGAAGGGGCACCTCGCGGGAGGGCGGGCGGGGAGAGGGGCGGAACCGGGGCGGGGCGGGCGGCCCGTGCTCTATTAGACAGGGGGCGGCGGCGCGCCGGAGGCGGCCGGAAGTAGCCGAAGCAAGCGGCGGAAGTAGCCGAAGCGGCCGGAGCGGGCGGGCGGCAAGGCGAGGTGAGAGCTGCACAGGGCCCTACGCGGCCGCTTCAGCATGTCGGACTTCGACGAGTTCGAGCGGCAGCTCAACGAGAACAAACAAGGTGAGGACGCCGGGGGCTCGGGGCGGCGAGCAGGGCGGCTCCTGGCTTTCCTCCGTGGCCCCCCGCCATTTTCCCCCTCGCTTCCCCTCTCGGGGCCGCGCGGCCGCCCTCCCCCACCGTCTCGCGGCGCGCGCCTCGCTCACGTGACTGCCCGGCGTGCCTCCGCGCGCGAGAGGGGAGGGGGCGGCGGGCGCGGACCGGCACGCATGCGCGCCGCGCTTCGTTCTGTTCACCCACCAGTTGGTCCCTGGCGGAGGTGGCGCTACAGTAAAGGCCCGGGAGCGCCTGCCGCGTGTCACCTCGCGCATTCTTATTTTTACTAATCAAAGGAGAATATATACATATCTTTATGTATAGGCATATATCCGATCCGGCCATTCCCCCCTTTTTTCCCGCTGCCTTGGTACTTCCGTTTCCGGCTGTGTCGGCCGCCCGGGTCTCCACGCCCCCTTTGTTCCAAAATGGCGGTTGCGAGCCCCCCCACTTCACGTGGGCAAGGCTGTGGCGTGGCCCGACTATCCCCGCGCGGTCGCCACGTGCATCGTGTCCTGCGGCTTCGCCGCGTGTGACGTGGGATCATTCATGAAAGCGGGGCGCGCTGTGCGTTCTTCGCATGAACCTAGCTCTAGGCCTACGTTATGCATACTAGAGGTGGTGGCGGCAGCGGCGGTGATGGCAGTGGGTAGTCTTCGCCCCCCAGCTGCCCCCTGCTAGAGACAAACCTCACGTCTTCTCCGGTCCCAAAGTTGGGGCTCCTTGGCTCGTAAATCACCTCAGCGTAGAGATGGGGAGACTGAGGTCCTGAAAGACTAGGGGCTCTGGTCCAGCCAGGTACCGCAGAGAAGGGTGGGCAGTGAGGGCTTTCCGCGGGGGCTATGCGGGTGCCCATCAATTTAGAGTCCAAGAATTTTGGAAGTGGGGGAACCTATAGACGTTTAAAAAGTTCTTTTTTCTCGCTTTTTCGGTTTGGATGTGGAGAAATTTGGAAGTAGGGAAGGTGGGGAACTTGAGGCCTCCATTGACCCTGTGTTTGAAGGGGTGAGTGAGGAGCGCCCGAGTTCTCCTTTGAACACAGCTCGGAGTTGAGGATGGGGTGGCTGCGTGAGGAGACAGTGCGTGGGGAAGGCCTGTTGCTCAGTGCCCAAGGCTGTCTTTTTGCGCATGAAATAGAGATACCTGAGTTCAGACAGGTGCTCTGTTGCTTAGCTGTGCTACTTCAATATCTTCATGCCTGTTTGCTTTCATGCGGGGAATTGGCCATTCTTGTCGGCGAGGGAGGGGAGGATTCTGGAATTAATAAGGTTGGTACTAACGACAGTTATATTAGACTGAATGCCTGCCCGTACTAGGCACTGTGCCAATAAGCTCGTTGCACAACTTTTCTAAGTGGACCCTTCCAACTGACCCTTGGGGCTGAGATGATTTTCTTCTCTTTGTAGAGGAGGAAACAGGCTCAGAAAGTTTAAAATTTTTCCCAGGCCTGATCAGAAGCAGAGCTGAGATTAGAATGGGGTAATGTAGGCAAAGTGTGTGGCTTGTGGGTTGGCACACATTAAGTACCCAGTAAGTGGTATTTTTTTATTGTGAAATTGCCCTCATCCTAATGTCATGCTGAAGGGAATAGAGGTAGGTCTTTAGCTCACTCACTCAGAGATGGTGTTACAGTCTGGGAAGGTGCTTTATGAACATCCTTCTGCCAAGTCCTCAAACCCTACACTGTGGGCGGGGCTGGGAGTGGCCCTCATTTGGAGGAGAGAATACCGAGTTTTTAAGGTTTAGTTTTTCATGCTGGTTTCATGTGGTTGGTAAGCAGGAGAGGTGACACCACCCGGCTCTGGCTGGCTGCAAGGCCCGCTCCACCTTGCTGACCACCTGCAGAGCTGGGTGAGCCCTTCCTGGAGGCTCTTGTCCACGTACTGCCTTGATTTGCGGCCTTCAATTCCCCCACGTCCCCTGGAGTTGGTGCTCTTCCCACAGTGTGCCTGGCCACAACATTTTGAACACCCAAAGCTCTCTCTGTGCCCAGGATGGGTGTGGCAGGGGGCGCGCGGAGAGGACTCTCCAATAGGGGAAGCCGCCCACGTGTTGCGCTGCCTGTCAGACAGCCTGTGGGTCTTTGTCTCCGAGCCAGCCTCTTCCCGACTTCACCCCTGCCTGGTCTGCCTGTGTCTCCAGAGAACTGAGTTCCTGGTGTGCGTCCCAGACACCCAGCGGGCGCCGCCACTTCCTCTGTGTGTTTGAGAGCCTCAGTGGCAGGAAAGACCCGAGGAGTGCTCACACTCCTGCAGGCTTACCTGGCCGACCCTCTGACACTCCCCTGGCCGTTTCCTGTCTCTTTTATTCTCTTGCCTTCAAGGGCATAATCCTCTTGCCGGTAGAGGCTCCACCCAGACGCTGGAGTGGGGGGTGTGGGCCGCTGTTTAACTGAGCTTGCGGACACCACAGGGTTCACGTTCAGGAGTTGTCACTTCATGCTTTTTAGGCCTTTGGGCCAGACATGTGAGTGCCCCGAGCCTCAGTTTCTCTGTTATTTGGGCTCCCAGCAGGGTTTCCCCGAAGCAGTAGTAAGGATTAAGTGCACGTGAGATACATACATAGCACAGATTCTGGATTTAGGAGGCATCCTGCTGTTTGCTGCTGTGTCTTTTCCCTGTCTCAGGGGCACATTTTTCTGAGTTTTGGTGACTCTGGGGTTCAGGTGTGTTTATAGTTACCGTGATTATGCCAGAAAAAATAAAGACAGAACAATGTGGATGAGGCTAATGTCCACTTTGAGGTCCTCTCCTTACTGCCTCTTCTGCTCTCCTGCCCCCAGGAGCATGGTGAAGCTCACCCATACACCGACAGGGGCCTGATGGGTAGTTGAGGAATCGGGGCCTTGGAGCCCAGGAACTCAGCTGGAGCGCTGTGCTCGCGCTCCCCGTGCTCCCAGCTCAGCCTGCACCTTCTCCAAGGCAGTGAGGCCTGGGAGGGAGCGGCTTCTGTGGCTTTGCTGGAGCTTTGTGCCACCTCCAGGGCCTTCAGAGAAAGTGGCCCAGCCCCTCGAGCGCTGTGGACTTGGCTTTGAGGCAGGATGGGGTGGTCTGGGATTCAGGTCTGCGTGGGGCAGAAGGAGGGGCCTCGGGGAGGGCGTCCTGGTTGGGGCCTCACCCTGGGCCCGACGGTGGGGCTGTGGGTGCATCTGGTGATTGAGGACGTCTTTCCTGAGGGGCCGCAGGTCCCTTCAGGAAAACATCATTGGGTCTCTTGGTTCCCCAGCCTCTAGCCCTGCCCCTCTCAGGGACGACCCTGGGGTCAGGCCCCTCAGCCCTGGAGGGGGACCAGGAGC